CAAGCTAACCTTAGCAGAGCAGGCCTACTAGCTAACTAGAAGAGCTTTAAGCTAACCTTAGCAGAGCCACAAGCTAACCTTAGCAGAGCCACAAGCTAACCTAGCTCCTCAAAAAGATAACCTTAGCAGACCACAAGCTAACCAAGCTCCTCAAAAAGATAACCTTAGCAGAGCTACAAGCTAACCTAGCTCCTCAAAAAGATAACCTTAGCAGAGCCACAAGATAACCTTAGCAGAGCTACAAGCTAACCTAGCTCCTCAAAAAGATAACCTTAGCAGAGCCACAATATAACCTTAGCAGAGCAGACCTACTATCTAACTAGAAGAGCTTCAAGCTAACCTTAGCAGACCTATAAGCAGAGCCACAAGCTAATCTTAGCAGACCACAAGCTAACATTAGCACAACTGAATAAAAACAAACCTTACTAAACTCCTGCCCCCCACTGGTCTGTAGGAAATTTATCTTGTGCAAAACCAGTCCATGACTGAAAAATTTAGAGTCTTGCTGTTTTGTGATTTTTGTCCTTGCCAAATGTTTGCAAACTGCTACACATCACATTCATTTTGTGCAAAGGGAACCTTTTTTGTTTTTTAAACTTTTTTTTGTAATGATCTGAATACTTCACCTACTTTTGTGGACATCATTTAAACTGACAGTAATCACAAAACCACTTCACACTTTCCAGTGATATGAAATAGGTTTATTTTATTTTGCACAGCACTGATTTGACCACACTTTCTGCCCCGTGTGCTGCTGTTGACTATGTCCACATGAGCTGAATACATTTAGAGCTCAAACTGTTGATCTCTATAATTCAAATGTTAAAATACCAGCGATCATCTGCTGTTTTTTCTTCGTTTCATTCATTTATATTTGAATATTTAGAGGAAGTCTCTGCAGCTCAGTGCTGTAAAGCTCCCACAACTTCCTTTTCCTTCCAGCACAAAAACACAACACTTCCATTTCTCTTAAAAACTTTGAATTAGTTGGAGTTTATTAAACGTTTTGAAACTGATTAAAGTTTTGTGCGACAAAAATTGTTTTTCTTCTGTTAGTCCGTTTCCTGAAACAAACTCTTGTAAACATTTTGAAGACATGGAATTAAAATTTTCATTTGAAGTTGGAAACACAATGAACGTCAAAGTACATTTTGCAAGAAATGTTTTTAGTCTTTAAATTCTGTTTTAACTTGCATAACTAATGATTAATCAAATGTTTGAATTGAACCTTTTTTTTTAATTGAGTGCAGATTTATTTTCACATTTTATTTTTCCTGAAATTTGTTTAAAACTGTCAGTTTTGGTGCAGTTTGCCAGGTCTTTGGCTAGATGACGGTTTCTCTTACTAACGTCAAATCTTCCATTTACTTGGTAATTAAAATTTTGCCATGAATCTGCGTCACTTTTAAATCAAGAAATATTTATAAAACAAGTTTGTATTCAGTGGGGAATTTGTTTTTCTCATGCAGGTTATAATTTTTTTGACCAAATGCAGCTTTTTATATATATGTATATATACTTTTGAGCATAAATGTGAACAGTGCTCCTTCCAGTGAGCTTTAATAGTCCACTTATTTAATAACTGGCTGTATTTGGGTTTTATTGATGGCCGAGTATCTCAGGAAGATGAGTTCACCGTCACTGTAATCGAGTTTTCAGATCTCGTTCAGACCCCAGTTCATAAAACTTGAGTGCACACGTGTACCCCCCTCCCAATCTTACATCTACTGTGACTGATCTGTTCTCAGGAATGTATTTTATCTGTTTAAACATTGTTTTTGGCCACAAAGAAACAATAAAAACATCTTTTCATAAAAACACGATTTTTGTCTGGTCTTTACCCTCAACTGCATTATTTACCTTTTTTTTTTTTTACAGCTTCTAGTGGTTTTTAAATCAATATTCACTTGAGTATTCAATGAGGTATTAAACAATACACCTTTATGAGTTCCATAATATATAAAAAAAATCAAAGGAGAAAGCACAAATTTCCTTTAACTTTATTGAATGAAATATAGACAAGTTTCTGGGTCCTTACTATTGACAGCTTGGGAAATATAAAAAGTCAACAACGACCGTGCTACACGAGTCTTATGCTAACTTGCTGCAGGTATTAGTTCAAATTACATTAGGTACATACAGTAGTTATACAATCTGTACAAATGTTAACAGGTTCACAGTTAGAGGGTTACAAATAAAAAAGGAGTACTGGATGGCTGCCCCTAGATGCTTTATACTTAATGCAACAATAGCAAGGCCTTAAATCTCTAATTCTTTATTTTACATAAAGCAAACATCGCGCCTAAATAGTTTGGTCATAAAGCTGAAGCCTTTAGAGTCCCTCGAATGAGCTGCTGAATGAAATCTTATCAAAGCGTTGGCTAAATTCTCAGGCGAACGTCTTCCAGAACTGACTGAAAATTAAATAATACCAGATTCAACCCATCACATGAACGCTTTGGTTGGAAAAATCAGGTGTTCACGGCAAAAGCGAGTGTTTTTATACGAGAAGCACGTACAAGTCTGGAAACAGTCATCATAAATCAGGAACTTGACACGTTTTGTATATTTCTCCTCATACACCAACCCAGTGTTCAAAATCAGCAAATTCCTTCTACCTAATCAACTGGAGTGTTTATTGTAGCTTTATATTATCACATTAACTATGAGTAACAATGTGTATTCACAGTGAGACAGGCAGTGAGGTTTGATCTACATGAATCTTTTCAAACATTTAGCAGAGTGAATACTCATGGCTACAACGTTAAACCCCACGGTGCATTTCAGGTTGTCATCTTCCTGCGCTCTGCCTGCTGGACGTTTGTACCGTGACTTAGTTCTAATGCCAGTTGAAGATGTGCAACAAAAACAATGTTTTCTGTAAATGGAAGGAGAAACTTGGACTCTAAAATGTTGCTGATGCATCACAGCATGAAGTAAAAAAAACAAAAACAGGCAACAAACAATAAAAAGAGGAAAATAAAGATATGTGTGACTGAATGAATAGTCAGGATATAAATACAATATACAGGATATTAATCATCCATCTCTTCGCCTGCTGACACCACTTCACATTTTTTTTATTTTTTGCACATCAAAACTTGCACTCTGGCGTCCGAACGCACAAATCCACACTCAGGAGTTTGCAGCAAAGGCGGCGGGAGGTCACCGAAGGTTCAGAGGAGCGGTTACGAGTCAGACGGGAGGCTTCTGTGGAGCAGGATATGTGTTGTGTGGGGGTGTTGTTGTGATGGAGCTGCATGACGGGGCTGAGGGTGGAGAGAAAGTCAGAGTTGGTGCTCAGGATGAATGAGTGAAGCTCATCACAGAGTGATACCGCCGAGCAGCCTCTCTCCCACAGATGGGTCGTCTCCCAGGCGCCGGTCCAGCATCTTCACCTGAAGTGGAGAAACAAAAAAATAATAATAAATGGTATTAGAGGAGAAAATCTGGATCTGTTATTCAAACACCTGGAGAAGAAAACGGTTTTAGATCAACTCATTTTCATGTTTATGATTCTGATCTGGGGATTTGTTGTATAGTTGTTGTTTTAAATGTGCTTTATATAAAAATAATATTTAATAACTTGCAAAAATCAGAAAATGGAGCTTAATTTTCTGCATCTTGGTTTGCAGAACTGATTAATATCACTGCAACAAGTGATAAAAGTAACAAACATCTGCTTCGTGTAATTTCTTCTTTTAAGGCTTTTTATACTTTGTCATGTTTATTTAAAGATAATACTTTTGCAATATTTGTACTTAAATTAAGCAGATCCTTAATAGATTTAAAAAATAGATTTACGACAGAAAAGACAAACACTTAAACCATTACCTTGGGTAATATTAAACGGTGGCCTGCTATTAATTTTATTCATTAGATGTGCCACCCTGCTATAATTCAATGCTATAGTAAAATAGTTTTAAAACTTGATTTTATAGATTAAAAAAATGTATATATACATTCTACTAAAAGATTTCAATCTGGTCATGTCTAACTAAACACGAAAAGTTAGCTCCATAAACTTTACCAAAGATAACCTGTTGACTTTATGATACTTTTATCTTCTTTTGAGTAAAATTCAACCCAGGAAACAGATTTAGTCAGTACTTTTTACACATCCGGCTGCAGTTCTGTGATCTTTCCTTTCAAATAAATTGAATTTGACAGTAAGCCGGTATCTTTACAATATCACTGCATATTAAAGCATCCCACAAGGATATGACGGTTTAGTTCAAACTGGAGTAAAAAAGAAAAAGAAATGCCCCCCCTGTTCTTTTGAAGCCCGGTAACAGAATCTTACAAACACGTCCTCCGACATGGTGTCTTAACTCCACACTGAGCCTGTGATGGAAGAGGAATCATAATCAGCCTTTCAGCACAAGTTCATCTGCACCGCTTCCCTTTAAGATCCAAGCCCACAAAGACGGGGGTCAGTGGCGGCATTCCTGCTTTGATATCAAAAGTCCCTCGGTTACTCGAAGCCCGAACAAAAGCTTTTTCATCTGGTCAGCATGCAAATCCCCTCCTCTGCTCTCTAGTAAAAAGTAAGACCCGTTGACGTTAAACAGAAAACACTGGGAGAAAGTTTTAAAACAACTCCCTGCCTTCGTTGTCACTCAAGGTTTTTAATGAGTGTTGAGAACTTCACGAGTTTTCCAACTGGTCTCACCTGCTCATGATGCGGCCGTGACCTCTGTGGACACTGGCTCGATCTCCTTCACAGCCTCTTCGATCACCTCAATCACCTGCGCCATCACTTCCGCGCACTTTTCTGATGGGGTTTTCTCTGTTTCTGCTTCTTGACTGGGAGCCTCTCCTGAAGCCGACTCTTGGGGCTCTTCTGGCAGGTCTGAGAGTTCGTTTTGTCTCAGTGGCTTCTCAGACGTTGCGTCGGTGTTAGAACCGTCTTTGTCGAGCTCTGCGACGGTTTCCACTTCCACGGGCAGCTCCTCGACCATCTCTGCCGACTGCAGGACCACCTGGGTTGGCATGTGGATCTCAAGAACTTTGTCTGATTTCTCCTCTGGCTTGCATTCCTCAAGCTGTGACTTCACATCCTCATCAGCTTCTTTTACTTCTTTGCTCTCTTTCTCTTCAGGTTGTTCAATCTTTCCATCAATCTCTGTTACTTCCTCCTCGATGATGGTTTCTTTGCTTACTTCCACCTCCGCAGCCATCTTCAAGCTTTTCTTTGGTGTCTCCTCCTCCTTGATGTTTTCTGTGACCTCCAGTTGGACGGTCTCAGTCACCTCCACTGCAACACAAAGTGTCTGCGGTGATTTTTGGGATGGTTTTTCACAGAAACCAAGAACAGGGGTTTCAGTACTAACAACGGGCTCAGTTGCAATGTCAGTCGTCGCCATTGCCTTGACCGGCGTTGGAATGGTCACTGTAGACTTTTCGGATTGTGGAATATCTTCTAAAACTTTACCTACAGCATCTTTAATGACAGCCTCTGCTATCTCTGCACTCTGAGTCTCGATTTCATTGTCAATCACTTCCATTTTCCCACTGGCTTCCACAGTTTTCTGGTCCTGGATTGTTTCTTTCTTAGCCTCCCCATCGTCCAGCGCAACAAGGACCACCGTCTCTGTGATAACAGCACTTTCCACACTTGGGACATCTGCAGGGACAGCTACTTCAGTTCCCTTTGTGTCTTCTTTAGCGTCACATTCTGTGGTTGAAAGCTCTTGAGCCACTGCCTGAATCACCTCCTCTGCTGGAGTATTTTCTCCATCAGCAGCATGCCGCTCCATGTCCATATTGCTTTCCTTGGTCTCTACAACCACCTCAGAGACTTCCACGGTCTGAGTACAGACAACCATTTCAGGTATTGGTGTGATGGGATCGACCATGACAGTGTTAGGTGAGTTCTTCTTCAACAATGTGGGCTGGATGACCTCAGAGTTCTCTGTGCCAACAACTCCAACCTTTTCGATCTCAGCTTCGTAACTCTCACTGGCAGCTTGAATGTCTAAGTCTTCACCCACTAGTTCTTCTACAACAGGTTCAAGTTCAAGAGTTTGTACCAGATGGACTTGAGCCTTGTGTACAGGATCTTCTGTAGCAGCTGCTTCCTCTAATTCTTCTGCCTTCTGCTCCACAGCAATCTCCACACTTGTAACACCACTAACTGGACCTATACACTCTACGGTAGGCTCAATTGGCTGCTCCAGAGAAACATCTTCAAGCTCCTTGATTTCGAGGCCGGTGCAAATGGCCACAACCTCACTTTGTACATGTGGCTCCAGGATGGCCTTTGTCACAGACTTGGCATTCTCCATTTCTGGTTCTGTTTCTGCTGAAGCTACATCCAGTGGAGCATATTCAAGAGTTACTGATGTCTGAGCTGGAACTTCACTGACTTGGGCCTCAATTTTACTAACAACCTCATCTGCAGTCTGTATCTCGGGTCCCTGAGGAATAGAGGAGGTTGCTGCAGCTGGAGCCAGGGTTATGGGCTTCACTTCCGCCATGGACAGCTTGCACTCTGTGCTACTTGGACCTTTTGGCAGTGCAACCTGGTCCTCTGTGTCATCGTCTGCAATGTCAGTGTCAACAGATTTTGGCGTGGCCAAATTTTCTACCTCCTCTGGGATATCACTGAGCTGGTCATGCTTATCATCTTCAACTACGGCTGGGATCCACGACGGTGATCTGTCGTCAGCCGATACTTTAGCCTGGACTGAAGCTGGTTCTGCTGGTGCTTCCTGCTCTGCTTCAGCTTGTTCTTCATATTCTGAGAGAGGGACTACAGCTGGGGTGTCGGAGTCCTCCTCACCTGAGCCTTGGTCAGCAGAAGTTTGTTTTTCCACCTTCTTCCTACGTCCATGAAAAAGCTTCTTCAAAGAGAAAGAGGACTCTTCTTTTGAGGTTTCAGTGTCTGGTTGGACTTGATCAGCAGGTTCCTCTGGCTTTTCTTCACTTTTGGGCTTATTTTTAGGCATGACTAAGCGTTTCAACGTGCTCCAGGGGGACTCTCTCGCAGGCTCAGGTGCAGGAGTTATTACTTCTTCGTTCTCTGGGCTTTGGGGAGGGACTTCAGCACCCTCAGTTTCGTCTTCTTCTTTCTCTTCTGCTTTTTCTCCTGCAGTCTCCTCTTCAGCCTTGGTCTCTTCATCATCTGAATCAGACGTCTTTCTTGTCCTCTTTTTGGGTCCACCCATGCACATCAAAGCCTCCCAGGAAACAGAGGTGTCCATTTTCTTTTTTGGCTCCTCAGTGCTGCTGGTCAGCTTTTCTGTGTTTTCTGTCTTTGGCTCTTCCTCTGAAGGCTTGTCCTCTTTGGTCTCTTTCTCTTCAACCTTTTCTTCAACTGGAGCACTCTCAGAAGAGGACAGAGTGGCAGACTTTACCAGTTTGTCACTCGTGCCCTCATCTTCACTGTCAGAAGACCTTTTAGCGTACTTCTTAGGCGATACCAGTTTCCTGAAGGAGGCGATGACGCCATCTTTTTTCTTTTCACTGTCAGATGTAGTCTCACCTTCGTGTTCCTGGCTGGACTCATTTTGGTTCACCTCCACAGCAATGACATGCTCCCCCGATGCCTCTGGAGACGAGGGTCCACTGTCAGCTTTAGGAGCCTCTTCAGACTCATTGGAGGACTGCAGCTGCTCCACTGCCTGCTCCCCAGATTCAGCTGGCTTCGACTCTGATTCTTTCTTGTTCTTATGTCTCTTAGTTGAGAGCTTTTTCAGGCCAGCTCCAGTGAAGAGCTTCTTCAGTGGGCTCCCGTGGGGCTTTGACTTCTCCGGTGACGACTGGTGCTCGGCCTCAGACGTTGCCTCTTCTGGAACCTTCTCTTCCAACTTTTGGTCCTCTTGTTTGGTTTCAGTAGTACTATCAGTGGCAGCAGAGGCTTCAACTTTCTCTTCTGGAGTAGTTTCGGATGTTGCTTCCTGTTGAGTGCTTGGTGCATCTTCCTTGGGCTCAGACTCAGATTTCTCCTCCTTGACTTCATTTTCTGTCACATCATTCTCCTTGGTTTTCTCATCTATCACATCTTTTTCGCCCTGAGTTTCCTTCTCTTTTGCTTCGACCTCCTTTGTTTCCTGCTCTGGAGCTTCTTTCTCCTCCTTTTCCTCAGCAGCAGCTTCTTCTATATTAGACTCCTTTACAGTTGTCTCTGTTTCCTCCTCGTCTTTTGTCTTTTTGATACTGTTTTTTTTCCGCAGGTTTGAGAAGAGTCCTCCAGAGAAGAACTTTCTAAAAGAGGACACACCAGTGTCCTTGGTTGGAGAAGAGGTTTCTGCTTCTCTCTCAGCTCCCTCCTCCTTGACTTCTTCGTTAGCAGCCTTGGCAGCAACGCCTTCCAGTTGGGGGTCGGTGGCTTCAGCTTTGTCTGCTTCGGTAGCGGATGGCTCTGTGTCAGCCTCCTTTACTTCTGTTGTGGCTTTCTCCGTTGCCTCCTTGTCTTTTGCAGCTTCTTTAGTCTCACAGACTTCCTCTCCCTCTTTGTCTTTTACTATCAGTAGCTTCACAGGGTCCGCCTCTTCACTTTTATCCTTCTTGAGCGTGAACTTCAAGCCCACGATGCTGAAGATCTTTTTGAATCCAACTTCATTGGCGTTGTTGGGTTTCTCATCTGTTGCCTTCTCTTCAATAGAAGTAATCTCATTCACATCAGGGGATTCTTTGTCCATCTTCTCGCCGTTTACTTGTGGGGTCTCTTCGACCTGGGCTGTTTCTGTGGCGTCAGAAGCTTCCTCCTTCTGGGCCACAGATACACCATCTGGCTGGCCAACTGAAATGACAAGAAGAGATAAAATATTCAGTAAGATGATGAACAAATAAACTTTCTCAGTATGTTTACTCTGTTGTGCTGCAGATAGATGTTCCCATGATGTTCATTCAAACATTTAAGAAATTAAGGTAATAAGAAAATTAAATAATTTGCCGAGACAAAAACAATGAGTTCAATATTTCAATGTTATAAAAAATGGCATGGGAGTGATGGTGCAGATTATAGAAGACAAGCCTGTGGTTGGAAGGTCAATGGTTCAAATCCCCCTGACTATAACATTAAGCTGTGGGTGGGAAAGATGAAGCATCCACATATGTCTCCACCCAATTGCCCCACTGCTTCGTTGGCGCTTAAAACCCCATCTGCTCCCACGGATGCCCTAGATAGCAGCCCCCTGCTCCACACATGTGAGCCAAGCTAGCTCGGTGGTCATCAAGCGTAAAAACATATGCCCGGTCTTTGTACGAGTTTAAAACATTATTAATGAAACCGATAGTTCAAACTTTTTGAAATAAGAAACAAGAGGTCAAACGCACAAACTAATAGCTATTTTGTGAAATACCAAAGGAGACTGATGCACTCTTAAAACTCCAATCTCAAGATATTATAGGTAATTGCAGGTAATACAAATGCTGTTGCATAAACCTTAGATTGTCATCAGTTTCACATTAAATGGTTAATTATTATATTATGGTCATTACGGTATATTCTATAGTTACAAGAACAAATCTTATAGTAAAAGAGCAAATTGTAGTAGCAGCATCTAGTTTGCAGTTTTGTTTCGTTTTTATGATTGTGTAATGCAAAATTGACAACACTGTAAAGGTTTACAAACTTGTGCTTGAATCAACAAACGTTACGACTGGAGTTGTATTAAGACAGCAGCTGGTCACTTACCCTCTCTCAAGATAGCCTTTAGCTTTTTAAACTAACCTTTAGCATCATAACTGGTCATTAGTTTCTCAAACTAGCATTTAGCTTCTCAAACTTAGCCTTTAGCTTGACAAACTAACCTTTAGCTTCTCAAATTAGCTTTTTTCTCAAACAAGCCTTTAGCTTCTTAAACAAGCCTTTAGCTTCTTAAACTAACATTTAGATTCCCAAATTAGCCTTTTACTTTTCAAACTGGCCTTTAGCTTCTCAAACTAGCCTTTAGCTTCTCAAACTACCCTTTAGCTTCTTAAACTGGTCTTTAGTTTCTCAAACTAGCCTTTAGCTTCTCAAACTAACCTTTAGCTTCTTAACCTGGTCAATAGTTTCCCCAACTAGCCTTTAGCTTCTCAAACTAGCCTTTAGCTTCTAAAACTAGCTGCTAATTTCTCAAACTAGTTCTTAGCTTTTTCAAACTACCGTAACTGTTAACTAAATTAGCCTTTAGTTTCTTTAGCTTCTTAAACTAGTTGCTAATTTCTCAAAGTAGCTGTTCTATTCTCAAACTTGGTCATTAGTTTCACAAACCAGTCTTTAGCTTCTTAAACTAGATTTTGCTTCTAAATCTAGCTGTTTATTAAATTAGCCTTTAGTGTCTTAAACTAGGCATTAGCTTCTCCAACTAGCTGCTAGTTTCTCATAGTAGCTTTAGAATCTCCAACTAGCTGTTAGCTTTTCAAACCAGCCTTTATTTTCTCAAATTAGCTGTAGCTTTTGAAAGTAGCCATTAGTTTCTCAAAGTAACTGGTAGCTTTTCAAGCTGGCGTTTAGCTTCTCAAACTAGCTTTTTACTTCTTAAATATTAGCTTCTCAGGCTAGCCCTTAGCTTTTGAAAGTAGCTCCATTAGTTTGTTCAAACCTCACAAGAGTGTCTCAACTATTTTTTTAATTTTTATTTTTTTTGCTTTTAATGTCAAGACCGACACTCTTAATCCTGTTTTCATTTATTTATTGTAGTTCAACTATGTCAGACAACTGCTGCAAAAAAGCTGAGATAACAAATGCAAACCAGACGTACAACATGTCTGCCTGTTGTGTCCGTCTATGTTTTGGCAAAGGATGGTGTAAAGGGTGGGGGTGTTACATCTGATATCCACATGGTCTCCAAAAAATTCCCATTTTGTTGCCTGGATTTCAAGTTACAGGCTTTTGCACAAAAACACTTTGTCAATTTTGACTTTCAAATGGATTCAAAGCAATAAAATAAAATATCAAACCCTAGCCCCTGATCTATTTTCCACGAGAACTGAAAAAAAAACCTATCATTTATTTAATAAAAAAGTTCACTCACACAAAAATGTACAACTGTTCCCACATCTGCCTACATCCTTCTAAATTATAGGTATGGAGCCTCCGTCAGCAGTACTGCGTTCTTCGAATAGTTTAGATTTGAGCTTTTTTACTTTAGCGGAGCTTCACTCTATATTTAAAATTTAAAGCACAGATGAGAATCGATTTCATTCACTGATTCTATCACGACCACACCCTCCACATCCATCTGACTCCAGGGGAATGTGAGCTATGCCGTCTTTAAGAAGTGTATTTCAGGATGCTCCAAATATACCGTGAGGCTGGACACCCAAGAAATTCTGGGAATGTTTATTCATTTTTTTTAGCTGTCTTGTTTCTGCCTGAGAAGAATTCAAACCAAACAATGCAGGACCCCTCCTTGAAACCAGTCCCAATCCCCTTGACCCAAATTCCACAACAGAAGGATGGATGGGGTCCCACCCCTCCACCCCCTTCCTAAGGCAGACACACATACAAAAAACACAATGGCCCCGTAGCCCTCTATGGGCCCCTGAAAATAAGGGGGGGGGGGGGGGGGCTGGTCGACTCTTCTATTATCAAGAAGCTTGAGGGAAGTTCAAAACTATGGCACAAGGTTTACTTTAATAAACTGGAAAAACATGGAATTAATTCATTAAACACCAGATTCTCTGAGCCATTTCCAGTTAAGTTGTGAAGGCTGTGTGTGTGTTGATGTTTTGGGGGGGGGGGGGGGGGGGGTCTTTAAAACAGGAACCACACTGATTTAACAGACTGCTGGCATCTTTTTGATCTCTGTCTTCCTACTCGACACTAGTTAACATCTCCCGGCTGAAGTTAAAGTGTCGCAGGACAGAGGGGGAGATGTTTGAAGATGAAGGGACAGTGTGGTGGTGTTTGGGGGTGGGGGTGGGGGGTCACATATCTTCTGCCATGCTCTCATAGCTGAGATGCTTCTCGCTGCTGGAGACGAGTGGAGTGAGATCGTGCGGTAAGACAAGGCTCCTCTCGTGGTAAATAGCAGAGATTATTGTAAATCAGCCCCACTGAGGTTTCTATCCATTTGAGGCTGTGGCACTTTTTTAGGGGTGGGGGAGTGGGGGGGGGGGGGGTGGAGTCAGAGGGCAGCTGGGAGACTGAATGGCAGCTATTCTCTCTGCAACTTTGACCAATTATATGCAAATCTCTGCTTTTCTGGAGCAGCTTTAAAACAAAACAAGTCAGTTAAAAGGGTGTCGAGGAGACCCCATAACGCTCCACCAACAGACGAGATGTACCCCCCACCCCCACCTCTAGAGGTGTGGTTGAAACATCTCTGAAGGAGACAAAAGTTGCTCAGATGAAACCAAAACCTGATTTCAAATTTACAAAAAAAAACCTCTACAGATATCAGTGATCTCTTATTCAGACGTCAGCTTTCTGAGATACAAGTGATAAAAAGAAGAATCTGTTTGCAATTAACACCCCCCCCCCCACACACACACACACCACCACACACACACACACACACAAAGGCACAGACAGACGCAGACAGGGGTGCTCTAATTTAATAAAACACCTCACATGATGGGATGCAGCGTGCTGACTCAGACCCACATTAGAAGAAAATGAAATCATCAAAACACTCTCCATCTGGTTTGGATGTTTTTCCCACCCAAAGGTTCGGATGCTGTTTGAGATGCAGACATCCGAAGGAACGTTTGTAATGTTTGCTTCTCTGATCGATTCACATTCTACAGCGGTCAAGAGCAAAGAAGAACTCACTCCATCCATCCAGAAAGCACGGCTCGAACCAGCCACACCCTCAGGACAACAACGCCTTTGGCTACACGCACAAACACAAACACTTTATTTGGTTCAAAGTGTTGTTTAAAACACTGTCAACCAGTAAATATAATTTAAAATAAACTAGAAATGTTTGGTTCAATTCAACCCCATGAAGATGTGGTGAGTAATCCTGCAGTCTGGGGCATTTTCCTATTAAAAAAAAAAAAAAAAAAAATCTGAATTAAAAAAATTAAAAACATTTAAGTGGAGCGGATCTCGTTCTTACCTGTTAAAGTTATTGTTCCGAGCATCGGGAGAACTCCAGAGACCTCTCCAAGAAAATGTGGAGGAAAAAAAAAAGAATCAAACCTTTTGGTCTTTGCTTGATGTTTTCACTTCTCTGGTAACTCTTTAAAAGGCTGTCAAACTTTCCCTTTTCAAGGTCCTAATGTCTCCGTCCTTCTGTCTCTGTCTTCCTCTGTCTCTGTCCTCCTCTGTCTCTGTCCTCCTCAGCCAGTGGGCAGAATGAGCTGAACTCAGAGCTCCACACACATTTCTACACACCAACACACACACACTGTGTTAGGACCACCCCCGCCTCCCTCGTCTTCCCACCTCCCCTGCTTTTCTTCAGCTGTTCTGAATGGACTGCACCCCCTCCTCCTCCTCACCCCCCCCCCCTCCCTTACCCTCTCACACACCCTCAGACCTCCTCATCTGGCAGGGTTGACTTAAGTGCAACTTTTCAATGAAGCTGTTGCTCATTTAGTCAACACAGATTTACTTTACAAACTTTTTATGTGCACCTTCATAAAAAAAGAGAGAAGTAGTTAATTTTCTTGTTTAAAAAAAAAAAAAAAAAAAAAAAGGACCGCCATGTTCCTGTACTCCCTCTTCCAGGAGGTTCTCCCTCGGATGTCATGGCTCGTGTCAAAAGTCATGGAGGAAAGTTTGAGGTAACTCAGGCTGTTTTGAAGTGGAAACTTTTTTAAATCCAGGTCTCAGAGTGGAAGATTTTTGAAACTCTCAGCACC